AGAGAGAGAGAGAGAGAGAGAGAGAGAGAAAGAGAAAGAGAGAGAGAGAGAGTGGTATAGAGAGAAAGAGAGAGAGAGTGGTATAGAGAGAAAGAGAGAGAGACACACATAGAGACAGACAGAAGCAAGATTAGAAAATGATGGGAGGAGAAATAGGTACACAGAGTAATAGTTTTACAAAGGCATAAAGGAAATGTCTTATCACAGCATCGCCCTGCATGTCAGAACATTAATTTGCTCCAACCGACAGTTTAAAAAGAACGTATTGCTGATAACTGGTCCGTGTGGAGTAACAAAGGGGATTGGTGGACGAGTGTGTGGGTGTGGGGGGATTTATATCTCGTATCGTCGCTTTTTACACTTTTGCAAAAAAAGGTCAGAATATTATTGCTTTACACGTTGCGATTGTGGATGTTAAAATTTCCATCTCTCTTGCTCTGGCTCTACTGCTATCGCTCGTTGTCTCGCATCTGTCTGTCTGTTTGTCTGTTTGTCTGTTTGTCTGTTTGTCTGTCTGTCTGTCTGTCTGTCTGTCTGTCTGTCTGTCTGTCTGTCTGTCTGTCTTAGACACACATCTTCACTACCCTTGGAAATGCATTTTGCGAAAGAGATGTTTGTATAAAAGCTAACCCCCCCCCCCTCACACACAAACACCCCAGCCTCCTTTTGTCTCGTCCCCCTATATCAAGTGCTGGGAGTTGTCAACTTAAAATTAATTTTAATTTTTCTGATTTACTGGGTAGTTAAAAATGAAGTTAGGATGAATAAACCAATGACAGAAATTAAAATTGATTTAAATGCTGCATACCTTTCTTTCTTACAACAGCGGAGCCTTACGGGATTTATCTCTAGCTAAACTGTCAATTATTGGTTCGTAGTCCAATTTTCGCGCTAGACTGACCTCTATGGTCAAAATTCCAAGACTTGAGAGTCTGTCTTGACGCATCGTGGACCGTATAATGTTTTTTTCACCCGAGAAAGGTTACTGAAGGAACGTTCAGCTTGCGCAACTGTGACAGGTAAGGTGCAGAAGATTCTCAACATGATTACAACGTTCGGAAACAAAGCATCCAGTTTCAGGGAATGCAGTCTCTTCAGCAACTGAAGAGGCGGCAGGACATTTTCTCCAATGTTCGCTGAATGAATCACTTTCAAATGTCCCAACCCTTGCGCAAGGTCTGCAGATGCATCCACTTCATATTCCGTGTGCAATTTGTTTGCAAGATCACGAATAACGCCGACTTCCTCTTGGAGATATTTCCACAAAACACTAAATAACGAATCGAGTTTTGTCACTGCATTATACCTTTTCTTCAAATTTCCAAGAAGGCAGTTAATGAGGACATAAAAACGTCATGTTTGAATTAGTTCTCGGGATTTTGGTAGTCTGTTACATCTTCTGTCTCGTCTGCAAAAAGCTTCCTTTTCTTTTGAAACTCAAGATTGCGTCCCATTCATCTCGTAAACTTTTCAGATCTTTAATCAGACTCTTGATATTTGCCACCTCAACGTCAAGAGTCGCTTTTCGTGCTTGAAGCTCTCTATATCTGTGATCGATTGCTGTGAGGATTTTGAGCCAAACAGATGCCATTATCACACATTCAAATGATGCAAAGTACTTAAGAATACCAATCGAATCTGAACGTGTTTCTGGGCGGAGGTTCATTTGAAGAACAGTTTGAACAGCTTTCCTCAGTCCCCCGATGTGAGCCGCAAAAGGCATGACACTGTCAGCACGTGCCGACATACGTGTCTGAGACATACTGTGCAAAGAGCTGGGAATGTTTTACTTCAAAATGTCCCACCTTTGTGGACTGGAGCTAAAAATGTTATACAGCTTTTGTACAACTGCAAAGAAAGTTATGACTGTTGAACATCTTTCTGCAGAATGCACACCACACAAATTCAAACTATGACAGCCACAGGGAGAGTATGTGGCAAGTGATCACTGTCTTAAAATGTGAGCCTGTGCACATTACACAGACCACACATGTTGCTACCGTTGTCGTAGCCTTGGCCTCGGCAGTCTGTAATTGGAATGTTTGTTTTTTTATTCAGTGTATCAAGGATAATTTTAGCGATGTCGTCTCCTGTTTTCTTATTACAATCTTCTCTTTTCAGAAATCTCTCTTCTACTTTGTAGACATTTGTATCACTGTCCAAGTGAACATAACGCAAAATAAAAACAGTTTGTTCGACGTGTGAAGAGTCTGGTGTTGCATCAACGATAGTGGAGTAATATTTCGTCCCGCTCTTTCATTCAAAATCACGTCGGTCACTTTTGATGCACAACTTTGGATGAATTCATTTTGACTTTCTGCTGATAGATAGTGAAATTGTAGGCGCCTTTTTTCTTTTTGTGATTTTTCAACTTTTGTAAGATGCTCTGCAAGGAGAGGATCGTAAAGGCCAATCAATTCCAGAAGTCCAAGAAAGCACTACCAAAGTTCTGTGAAGTCGTCAGATATACAGCGGAGGCTCTCGTGGCCTAGATGTTAAGGTGTTGGCCTCTCATTCAAAGGTCCCGAGTTCGAATCCGGGTAGCGACTGACAAATTTTCTTCTCTAAAATTGTCTCCTTTCACCTCCTTTCCTGCTCTCTAGCAATATTCTGTCGTCTGCTTTCGTCTCCTCTTTCTGCCCCCAAACCCTCACCTCCTTTGCCCCCTCCTCTGGGCTCCAGACTCTTTCTGCGGCCTTTGTAGTGCTACTCCTTGACTCCTTCTTACAGCTGTCTTTCTGCCACACCCCTGATCTTCTGGTAGAGAAGATCTACACCTAGCCTTCTCGGACAAGGGCGAAAAATCTCGGAGGGCCCGTGTGCAAGTTGTGCACGTTAAAGATCCCTTGGTGGTCTCAAATCGATTAGAGTAGGCTTCGGCCGCCACCCGGACAAAATTCAAAATTTCCTACCAACTAAAAGTATTTGATGTGTCCCGCGCGCTCATATGGCCGTATGCAGTTGCGAGCGCTGTAAAAACACTTACCAAAAAAAAAAGATATACAGCTCAACTTGCAGCCAAAATATATTTTATTTCAAAGCTTTGTACGGTACTCTCTCTTTCTCTCTCTCTCTCTCTCTCTCTCTCTCTCTCTCTCTCTCTCTCTCTCTCTCTCTCTCTTTCTCTCTCTCTCTTTTTTCTCTCTCTTTTTTCTCTCTCTTTTCCCCTTGCTTGCGGGCCCCCTAAACCCCCGGGCCCCGGGGCATTGGTACCCCCTGTGGAAAAGTGGGAAGACGTGGAGTGACATCAAGCAACTCGCCCAGGATAGGGAAAGGTGGAAAGTGTTTGTTCGTGGCCTATATCCAGATCCAGAGTGAGAAAGGCAAGGATGATGATGATGTACCTTAGCAAAGAAGTACAAGTGTTCTCGGACGGTCAGCTGGTCAAAGAGGATATTGTGTTGTGGACAGAGAC